GATGTGATGTGACATAAGTGTAGTGTGATGCGATGTGATGTGGCTATAGTGTGGTGTGGTGCGATGTAATGTAATGTGATGTGATGCGATGTGACCGGGTGTGGTGCGATGATTTGTATTGTCTGGTGTGGTGTGGTTCAATGTAAATTCAGTATGGTCATATATGATGTATTGTGTTATGGTATGATATATAGAGCAGTCTTCGTATCTTCGTGAAAAGCTCAGCGCTGTATGCGTGCCTTGCCCTGACCATGATATRTTTTAGAATCTTAATTGGCTGATTTTTTCCCTAACGCAACATGATTGGTCTTGCATTGCCGTGACCTTGGCGTGACCGTGTCCGCGCCGTGTTCGTGCCGTGTTCCGGGTATTTGATTGGATGGAGAGTAAATTCTCGTGCAATGTGATTGGTCTGGCAGTGCCGTGACCTTGGCGTGACCGTGTTCGCGCCGTGTTCATGCCGTGTTCCGGGTATTTGATTGGATGGAGAATAAATTCTCGTGCAATGTGMTTGGTCTGGCGTCACGACCGTGTACGTACCACGAGCGTTTCACAGTCATACGAAAACTACTCTATTATCAGGTACTAATGGTTGTATTGACTGCTACATGMGTTATCATGTCTTTCTTTCAGATGACTCCATAAAGCCGTACTCATTTCTCCCATTTTCCGTCGGACCTCGTATTTGTATCGGTAACAAATTCGCCTTGGCAGAGATGAAGGTCATTCTCTTGTCTCTTCTCCAGACATTCAAATTTACCGCCATCCCTGGCTTCGAAGTCAAACCTTCAATGAAACTGACCACAAAACCAGACCCGGCCGTGAAAGTCAAAGTTAGCCTATTGCAAGAARGAGAACTGTGATGCGTCAAGCATCCCTTTGATCGGCCAATGGTTGTCAAAGCTTTTGACAAAATTGAGCCGAATATGTTGCAAGCTATGACGTATCAGATCGTCATCGTCTTTCTGGTTGTCGTTAATGAGAGAGCCCTGTAGTTGTTGAGAAATGTAAGCTGTTTTTTATAACTTTTGTAATGAAGTTATTAAACAAATCTTTTACTGAGGCGTACACCGTGTTCTAGTCTATTGCCTGTAATGTGAAGGCTTGATGCATGTATTCAGGCTAGGGAAGTGAAGGAATGATCTTATTAACCTGGCTGCGTCCATGCCTTCAAACAAGACAAAATGAACTAAGAGAAGAAGTCTCTGGTATTCATGCTTGTAAAAACCATCATAGGCACTGTTTGATGTTTTTTTTATAATCACATTTGCCATTGTTTGTTTTTCTGAACACGCATACTGCGCGCGCTCTACACTGTTTACTCGCGTTTTTTTGACAACAACAACAAAAAAAAAAAACACAAGAAAACAGCACATGAGCAATCAGGTTAGAGCGCGCGCAGTATGCGCGTGCAGAAAAACAAACGACCAAATGAATGATTCTGAAAATAGCACGAAAGATTACACCACACACCACACCACACCACATTACACCACACCACACCACACTACTCCCTACCACGCTACGCTTTTTATAAACCACCCAGTTTTCACAAACTATGACTTAATGCACCGCTAGCAAATGGATATATGTCAAACCTTATGTTAAACCACATGATAGCCATTAAGTTATATTATCATTTATATTATAATATATTTATATCATCTATAAGATATTATATTATATTTATATTATTTATAAGATTCTAAAAATGGCATCAATGAGTTTCTTAGTCAATGGGATTCCTTCTCTTAGTTAATTTTCTCTTGCTTCAAACCAGTCGATCTAAGTTAAACATACTGTTGTGCTTCCGTCAATGTGACATATCTAATGACGTTTGTTTGTACTAATAAGATGTGAAAAATTTGACAAAGTAAATCAAAAGTTAAAACTAAGAACTTTCTAAGATTAACTTAAGCTCGTTTATTCATTATATTAATTCAGTGCATATCTTATTTTTTAAATTAATTTTAATCAGTAAGTCTTAAAAACGTAATATTGCTTTACTGAGCAAGCATTTCTTTTTTTTTACAATATTTTTTTACAACATTTATAATTCTTACTTGAAAACAATACCAATTTTTTTTTTTCTTTACAGAGGGTCGTCTAATTTACAATGCTACTGAGCAAGCATTTCTGTCTTTGGTAAAATTGTTTATTTTTGTAAATATTGTAATAGGAGCTTCTTGTTTTACAGTATTCTTTCTATAGGATCGATCTTACTAATCTCTCCTCTTTCTCTTTCGTAAGCAAGACAGTCCCGCTATTTATAATTTTTGTGTAGAAAGCTGGAGTAATTTGCTTTTTTCCTTTTTTTAATTGAATTTTTATACTTTCTGTAACTTCAGTTGAGTTTGCGAACCTCGTTCGAAATGTCAAAGTTATCAGTATTGCTGAGTTGTACCAGTGACGTAATTTCGTCTCGTGCGGAATGTTCATCAGCTCAATCACAAGTTTTCAATAGAATTCTTTCTGGCTGACAGCACAGGGTGTAGCAGATAATGAGATTCAAAAATCAGCTGAGTGAAAACCAGCAATAAGCCTGAAGCGAGATGACGTTTTACCCCCGTCTCTAGACCATAATCCTTTTCACACTGCTTTTGTTCTTTAATTACGACTATTGTTCCTGTATTCTCTAAGGAATCAAAAATTTTAATATGAAAGAATTTTAAAAACTATTATGGTATAGAGTCAGGGGTAAAACGTCATCTCGCTTCAGGCTTATTGTACCAATTTCTCCATTTTTTGTTTGTCGACACTGGCAGCGAAAACCCGTTCAAAAACCACCTTGTGACTCGTTAAGAAGAATTTCTCACCTTTTGTTTAAACCTTTTGTTCTTAATGAACAACGAAAGTGAGAAATTCGGGATAAAATCGCATGCACACTGGAAACGATTCTTAAACTACAGACTGGCTTGTACTTTTCCTTTCCGCTTACTACTTGTCTTTGTTACCAGGCTCTCCCTCGGCTTCCGAGTCACTGCGGCTTCTTTCGGCCAGCGGTTGTATCTCAATCAGCTCTCTTTGATGTATCTGAACCAGTCCCCTTCTTCTTGCAGTTATAATCTCAAAGCATAAGCACGTCTCGAGGTTTAGYACTTTGATAAAAGCTCTACGGAATCTGGACATTCTCATTGCATATAAAAACTGATTGGACGAACAATTGATGAGTGTTAATAGAAACTGTAGATCTCTCAGCCAATGAACGATCGTGCAGTCACATGACCCACAAAAGCTTAAAAAATAGTTGATAAGACACGATGGAATCAAACAGATTGTAAAGAATCCAAGAATGAGAAGAAACGRTTTTGTGAGCTTCCTTTCAAAAACTATCGCTTGGTTTTTCATTTGTCTTTGGTTGAGAGACCCCCAGCGAAGAACTTGAGTCCTCAGTTTTAGATAAACGCGGATGTACGCAAAAGAGACGATACACAGGGTGACCACGACGGCGGTATTGGCGAATATGAAAGCGAAAAGGTAGAATCCCGTAATGAAATATAAACAGGGTASAGCAATAGAGATTAACCAAATAAARCCTGATATGAAAATYACTGTCTTGAGTTTCAGAACCCGTTTATACATTGACGTAATAGTTAGGTATCGATCTATCGTCAGTGCTGATAGGTTAAGGAGAGATGCCATGCAGGCGATAAAATASGCCAAATGAACCAACCAGATATTTTCTTGTACTGGGTACCTTAAAGCTTCGCGGATATGGAAGATGATAAAAGCAGGTTCCGTTATTGTACCGATGATCAGGTCTGATATAGCGAGGTTGAGAACGAAGTAATTAAACGGTGTTCGTAGTTGATGGAAGGGGTCTTTGATCATCGAGACACAAATCAAGAGGTTTCCTGGGATCGTAATGAGGCAGAGAATAAGTGAGATGGTTGCCGTTGTGCACGACAGAGAATATGGCGCCCAGACTTGTTCACATCGTTCATGACTGAAGACCATGGTAAAGAAAACTGAACTTGAGTACTTGGTTTGGTATCTTAGAAAAAAGAGAAAAATCGTGTTGATGATGATGCAGGAATAGGGTTTCGGGGAAGGAGGAGGAGGAGAAGAAAGAGCAAAAAAAAAAGAAGATATTATTTTAATAGTAACATTGACTAGTTGTTATATAATGATGACGGCGATGATGTTGATGATGTTGATGATGCTGATGCTGATCAGCAATGATGATCTTGATGATTTTAATAATCAGTGATGGTGATACGATGATAATGATTATTAATGGTGATAATGATGGCGATGATGGTGGTGACGATGATGATGGTGTTGATGATGATGGTGATGATACATGATGATGGTGATGATGATGATGACGATGATGATAGTATTGATGATGATGATGATACATGAAGATGATAATGATTATTAATGGTGACAATGATGGTGATCGTGATGGTGATGATGATGGTGACGATGATGATAGTATTGATGGTGATGATACATGTGAATGGTGATGATGACGATGATACATGACGATGATAATGATTATTAATGGTGACAATGATGGTGATCGTGATGGTGATGATGGTGGTGACGATGAAGATAGTATTGATGATGATGATGATACGTGATGATGACGATGATACATGACGATGATAATGATTATTAATGGTGACAATGGTGGTGATCGTGATGATGATGATGGTGGTGACGATGATACATGACGATGATAATGATTATTAATGGTGACAATGGTGGTGATCGTGATGATGATGATGATGATGACGATGATACATGACGATGATAATGATTATTAATGGTGACAATGGTGGTGATCGTGATGATGATGATGGTGGTGACGATGATGATAGTATTGATGGTGATGATACATGATGATGGTGATGATGACGATGATACATGAAGATGATAATGATTATTAATGGTGACAATGATGGTGATCATGATGATGATGATGGTGGTGACGATGAAGATAGTATTGATGATGAGATGATACATGATGATGGTGATGATGACGATGATACATGACGATGATAATAATTATTAATGGTGATAATGATGGTGATGATGGTGACGATGATGATAGTATTGATGATGATGAAGATGATACATGACGATGATAATGATTATTAATGTGATGATGATGGTGATGATGATGGTGATGATGATG